TTAAATTTTGTTTTGTTATTTTGCACAAATTCATGAAATATGGATATACACATAAATAATATGTAATCTGAGATTAATATGAATAATTTGTAATGTAAAACTTTATCAGTTCTTGGGTAACTATAGAAATGTGTTGCCAACAACTCATGTATCACAATCAATGGAAAGACTGAGAAACCCATTAACTTAATTATTGTTTTCTTGCAAAATATGAAGGTATGTTAGTTTTTTGTTTTTTTAGGTTAAAATAAGTATGAGTAATGAATTCAGGCAATCTGTGTAAAGTTATTAAGTTGTGAGTCATTATGTACATGTATATGACTTGAAAATACAAAGGTTAAGGGTTAGTAATCTATAAAGTCATCTGGGATGCAAGAGACTTGTATTGTTGTTTTGGGTGAACTCCATATGATGGACATGTATGATTGAAATAATTTAAATCTTGCTTCCTCATCCCTGGATCCAAAAATATGGCTGGAAACACTTTAACCGATAATAAATCAAAGAAATCTAATGACTTGTTCAGGTTTTTGGTGCATATTATTCAACTTATTTCCATATAAATAGACCTCAAATTGAAAATAATTTGTTGTAAACTTTAGACACATTTTTAAAAAATGCAAAAATGTACAAACTCATAAATCATACAAACAGAATATGAGTATGTGAATTAAAACAATCTCTTTTGTGTTGCATGTACATATGGTATGAATTGCCACATATCAACATTGAAACTGTTCTAAAATGTGTTACAGGAACCAAAGCTTACAGTAAAAAAATGCATGTCAACATTTAACTTGGAAATCATTAACTTAAATTACATTGCCATGACCCTTGTAAAAATGTCTGGTATTTGTATGTATTTTGAATGATCAAGGTACAACATTGGTTATTGCAGCATACAAAATAATTTCATTTACAAGTATATTATATACATACATGTATATAGGCTTTTAAGAACACAAAAATCTATGTTAATGCATATATTGCCATAAATATTCTGTTTATTGTGAGAAAAATATGAGGGAAAATTATCATTGCAGTGTTCTACAGTACGTCATTTGTCTGACATGGATTTTAGGACCATATGAGATGTACTATTTGTGTGATGCAGGCTGTTACTATGGTTATCATGTACACGATGATGACAGAAATGCGATTAATTGTAGTGTGGATAGGTACTAGATACAACATAATTTAATACTACATGTATACAAATAACATATTAAACTGCAGGTGATAATGAAGGCTACTTGATGCATGTTTCCATGGAAATGTCAAATGTGTTTTCCACCCGAGGATATACATGTACATTTGTACATGTAGTATATTAAAGTCAATATGAAAAAACTGATGAATTTTTAGACTACTTAACAATTTTGACCTCCCTGGTACATTACACGTGTCAGTTTTTCTAACGAATTTTATATTATATCCTTATTTTATTTATACATATACATTTTAAAAACAAATACTTGGAGGATGTAACGAAAAATCTGATATATTAGTTAGTAAAGATGTTTTATGTTCTCAAACTGTCAGTGCATAGTTGTTTGTCATAGTTGATACTAATTTAATTACAGCTATATATATCTATCGTTATTTTGCTAAATTGACCATGGTACATTCATTTATGTGCAGTTTTGTAGTTGAATTCAATCTTGTTGCGATAGTGACTTGCATGTCATTATTATTCAAATACAAAATTTTTTTTTTTTTGCACAATCCAGACAGTATAGCATATACCAGGTACTGTTTTCTCGACTGTAAATTTTGAAGATGAAATTTTACTAAATTCACTGAGTGAATTCTGCTGTCTTTAAGCCCTATGTCAGGCGACCAGGTCAGAAGAAAATCCTAGTTTGTGTATTTTGACCTCCATGAATGCAATCTCAACACATGGGCATTTTTATTTTATAATTGTATCCTAAAATCATTTCAGGAGTATTCATTGTTACACATATCCAATTTTGTGGTTATATATTGATAATATAAACAAACAAAATAAGATTGGACTAAATCTTGATAGTAAAAATGAAACTGAGCTTTGCCCATTTTCTGATTTCAATCCTTCAAAATTTGATGATTTTGAAACTTACTACCCGGTAGTAGTGTAATGGCCATTTTCATACAAATTAGTTTGATTAACTCTCCCTAAAACCCCAGTTGTATGCTTTAATTTGTAAAGATGAAACCAGACATAATTTTTTCCATATTTTATTTTGAAATTCAGACTATACTGAATATGCGCAATGTGAAATATTGGCTAGCTATTTTTTCCTAGTGTTATATTTATAATTGGACATTTACTCAATGTTCTATACAGTTGTACATTGTAAGTCATGCAATGTTACACATGTAGACTTGATAATTGTTGAGGCATATGATTACAGGGCCTTTGTTTCAAAGGTCACTAAGCTTTAGGAGATTAACACAATTCAGTACTGCAATGGTGTTAACTCATGTATGGACACCTTAAAAACATGTTGAAATATGTGAATTGTAGTTCCATGGTGCATTTCACTTGAATACATGTACCGTATTAGAAGTACATCTCAAATAAATATGCTGATAAACTAAATGGCATATGTTAAATTAAGGTCCTATTGCTGTATACATCATTCAAACACCAATAAGGCCCTTTAGTGAGCAAAAATATACTTAGTCAGTTAGCAATGTTTCTTTCAGACAAGCATCCGACGACGTGTGCTTTTAAAATTAGAAAACCACTATGTGATCTCTTCTATCAACAGTCTGATGTGCTGTCAAAGATACCATTACTTTGATGTGTAAACTACTGCAGCCTTTGGAAAATCATTTATAATGAACAGTATGTCCTATTCATGATTTTGTTATATACAGTACTATGAGTCTTCATTTTTGCTATAATTACAATTTTACTCTGTAATTCCTAAAAATACCTTTCCCATGCAGTGCATGTACCTCCAATGGAATATTCTTAACACATTTCTGTGCAAAGTTCACTGTCAAGATAGATAACACCCAGGATTAACACTTCTCATGAGGACAGATGTACAATAATTTCACTGTTTTCAGCCTGCCCTGGGAGAATTGCATGTGTCCCTAATCCACTGTGACGTGCTACTGATACACACGTTTGCTCTGGTGCAAGTTGTTCAGCTGATTCACACAACAGCAAATCATGCGTTGATGTAGTGATCTTGAAAAAAACGCATCTTATGATAGTTGTGGAATTTGTAATTTTAGTAAAATGAAATTCACATTTTATAAGCAAAATAAGTGTAAATACACAGGAAATCACAACATTTTTATTTGTGCCTCAAACAGTGTCACAAAATTACATTTTAGTTTTTGAAGATTTTTTTCCCAATCAATTAATCCTGTTCGAAGGCACATTTCATGGTACAATGTAGCTGATTGTTCTATCGTGAGGTATCGGCTGTAGTTCATAAAAATCGGTTGCATTTGTGTTCAAACACTGCATCCGGAGTGAAACGTTAATTTTTTTGAACAATATATAGACAATGAAAAAGAGGTCTTGTGTATCAAAGTCACAGAATATTAATAAACAAATGCCTGAATTACATGTATATTTTTAATACGGTTCAGTCCCAATCTGTAATTTGGAGGTACAAATCAGAATCATAATCAAGATGTACTGGTCCTGACAACAATGTATCTGTACATTGTGGTGTTTGGTCAGTGTTGAAAAGAGCACTGAAAATATTTTATTTTAGGGGAAATTTATTTTTGCTGAAAAGACTTTGGCTGTTTTGTTGAATGTAAAATATACAAAAAATTATATTTCTGGATTTTATTTTCACTGAATCATCCGTTCAGCAAAAATAAATTCCAAATAAAAGAAGAATTTTGCAGTATCCAGCCTATATTTATACATCACTGTGCATGTATGTTTTTACATTAAAATATGGAACATAAATGTATGTCTGAATGGATATAATCATAGTTGCATAATTTGAGGACTGGACCTCATCACCTTATATTGTTAATATTTGCCTTACATTTCAGTGTTTTTGTTTCTTTTTAGGGCTGTTCTTCACTGCCTCAACCTCCACAGAGGACTGTCTTTATAAATCATAAAATAACACCAGGTTATGAAGAATTTGTGCAAGAAAAGTTTCCTAGCAATCAAATCAAAACTTCCAAGGTAAAACTAGGTTATGTTGGCATGCAATGCACATTTCTGTTGTTTTTGACTCCCGTGTGCGAAGCACAAAAGGGAGTCTTTGCAGCTACCCTGTCTGTATGTCTGTATGTCTGTATGTATGTATGTATGTATGTCACTTTTTTTGTTCCACCGTTATCTCAAGAACCACTAATCAAACTTGGTACATAGATGCTCTGTAATAATGCGCAGAGTTGATTAGGTTTTGGTGAAAATCCATGAATATTAATTAGCTAATTTACATAATAATTAGCTGATTTTTAGCTGTTCCATGCCTGTTCCACTGATATCTGAAGAACCACTTATTGGATTTTGATGAAACTTTGCACATGGATGCTCTGAACTAATGTACAGATTTGATTAGTTTTTGGTAAAAATCGGTTTATATTAATTACCTAATTTACATAATGATTAATCAATTTTCGGCTTTTCCACTGATATCTCAAGTACTAATCATAACATTTCAATAAAACTTGGTACATAGATGACATATGACACTTCACAGACCTGATAGTTTTTAGGGTAATTTCAGTACATATTAATTACCTAATTTGCATAATTAATTAATTTTTAGCTTTTGATATTTCAAGCAATAATGATCACATTTCAATGAAACCTGGTACATAGTTACTTGAGGACTGTGCAGAGACCTAATTAATTTTTGGGTAAATATTTGTGCATATTAATTACCTTATTAGCATAATTAGTTAATGTTCAGCTTTTCACCTGATATCTCAAGTACTAATCAT